CCTTTGGAGATGCTCACAGGAGTACCTCCCTCAGGAAGAGGAAAGCTCTATTAAGGACTCCCTCACTGACCTGACACTGTTTTTGCTATCTTGCCTTCATAGATTAGAAAAACTCTATGAGTTCTTAGGCATAGGATATTTCTAAGATCTACGTGATTCATAGAGTATTTTGGGGAGAGAAAGTCAAGAAATCATTTTTCAGACACTGAAAGTCCTAGCCTGACTAAGAGTAGATGGAATAACTTGAAAATTAGCATAAATTGAAACAAAACCCTTGAACTTCCTAAGGGTACCACTGCCAGAGATGCACATCCAAAACATTCTACCAGGTGCTCTACAAAGCCTGGATTTGGGACTACTGGAGGGTGAGGATGTTCCACATGTTTACAATAATAATAAATATTTTTAGACCAATTCTATGAGTGTGAACCAGTACATGCAGGAATCAGGAAAGTTAGAAATATGGATCCGAAATAAAAACATATTGTCTAAAATAAGCGATGAAAGGAAGGACAGGAAACATAGTTAAAAATGGAAGAATATGAGAAAAAGAGGAAGTCAAACCTCTACAAGTGTTAGTCAGCTTTGCATTGCTGTGGCAGACACCCAAAAAGGTATCAGCTGAAGGAGGAAAGAACTATTTTGTCTCACAGTTTCAGACCTTGGTCAGGCCATGGATTTATTGCAGAGAGCTGAACGTCACAGAAGGGAGCATGTGGAAGAGCAAACTTGCTCACCTCATGGTGGGCAACAAATCAGAAAGAGATACAAACAGGAATGCGACAGGGACAGGAAATTCCTAAAACACATTTTCAGTGACATTTCCAAAAACGACACTTTCATTAGCCCTGCCTTTTAAATTTCTAGGACCTACCAAAATAGCACCATAAACTGGGAACCAAACTGAAACTCATAAGCCTGTAGGGAACAGTTTATCTTCTAATTATAACAGAGTGGAAAATATTGCCATTGAAGTCAATGATTAGAATAAATATTTAATTAATCCCTGCTGAAGAAATAATTAGTGACCTGGAAGTTAGGGACTTAAAGACCTGAACCAAGTGTGTCATGTATTCAAATGGAAAATAAAATTGGAAATTGAATCCTGGAAAAAAGAGTAAGCTGTCACTGAATGTTCATTTTGAACTCCTGTCATAACAAGGGAATATTCCCCTCTTCTACAGACAGATCAAATGTTTCCAGAAAACAGAAAATTTTCCAGTCCTCCTAAATAGTAAGTGCTAGAATCAAAATTTAAAGACAGGTTTTACAACTGTAGCTACTCTTTTTAAAAGTATTTTATTTATTATATTTTTAATTTTATATGTATGAGTGTACTGCCTGCGTGTATATAAGTGCACCCATGTAATGAAATGCCTGTGGAGGTCATAAGGGAGAGGCAGATCTCAGGGAACTGGAGTTACAGACAATTGTTTAGTAGCCATGTGGGTGTTGGAAACCAAACCCGGGTTCTTTGCAACGGCAGCCAGTGCTCTTAACCACTGAACCATCTCTCCAGCCCCAGTTCTGTGGCTGCATTTTAAACAGCCTAGAGTAAAGAATTCTTAGTAACTAGGACACTTAACTTGCTGCTTAAAATGTACATTTCGAGCTTGGTCTCATACTTCTGATTTTGATTTTGAAGAGAACCAGTAAGAAGACAGGAAATGAAAGGAAGTGGCCCTTTGGAAAAATCAGCATTTCAATAAAATCATAACACCAGGCCTGCTTTGAAAAAGAGAACTTAAGAAGGAATTGGATGGGATTAATAATTGAAGAGATAATATGGGAGTTAAAATACAGAGATAAAGGAGAGATGAAATGCAAGTGAAGGTCAGGCTGAGATAGGGAATGGTCAGGTGAGCAAAGCTGTTGTAGCCAACTCCTTCATAACTAAGAAAAGAAAGAAAAAGCATCCAGCAGAAAAACCTGGATTTGTCATTCTTGAAAAGAGTAGTAAAAGAACATGTGAGGCAAAGAAAAAGACTTTCACAGTGCCCTTAACTATGGAAGGATAATCAAGAAACTGGAAAATGTCTTTCGACTCAATGTGTTCTAGACAGAAATGTGATGTACTACGTAGTTATGAATAGTCTACATCAGCATGTAAAAATATTGCAAGGTATTTGTCCTGGGCATTTCTCAGTAACAATGCCAGGAAGGATGCTAATTTGTGCCAATTGTAAGAGCTGGTATGATATGAGCACCTGTTTGCTAAGAACTGGGCTGAGCACAATTCATTCCACATGAGCCTGCTAAGCAGCTGTCAGATGGTAATTCCGTTAATGTAATGCCAACTCAGCCTGCTTTAGTGCTAACCCCAATGAGAAAGTCTGGTTTTCCTAGCTTTGATTAGATGTCCCATCCAGTGCCTTTTATAATTGCTTGTATTGCAGACAGAAATCATGTCTAAATGTTTTATTCTTTAAGGTTCAAGTGAATTCTGTGGCACTTCTCTTTGAAGGAAAGCACACGAGACCTGAACCACCCATATCCCTCCAAGACTCAGGCACAAGCTGCCAAAATAATAGGTGAAGGCTGATTGGATGCAGTCAGACCTCATTCATAGGGCTGGCCACTACTGCTTCAGGTCCTGGTGAAGAGCAATTTCAGTCCTCTGCTCTTCTGAGTCTCAGATTCAAGGACAAACCTGAGGGCCAAATTTGTGACGTTTTAGGTTAAACTCCATTCACTTAATTTCTCTCCAAAACTGTCTTTATACTATCCCAACTGAGCCACACATTTTTCAGCCGAGAAGCTAAAGTTCTCAGATGACTTTATTATCTCATGCTGTTGCTGTTTGATGTTAACAGTTCCTAGGAGTGACTTGATGGCTGAATGTTCTGTGTGTATGTGCATGCATGTGTGTCTGTGTGTAGGGGGTGATGATTAAATGTTAATTTTCATACCATCACACCATTGCTGTTGTCACTGAGACTAGAGCTATTCAAGGACAAGATCTCGGATGCCATATAGGCATTAGGGCTGGCAAGACAGCTTAGAGGATAAAGTCGCTCACTGTAGACTAGAGTTTGATCCCTGGATCCTACACGGTAGAATGAGAGCCAGCTGCTGCAAGTTGTCCCTTGACCTAGACATGTGCCACAGGGAGGCAAAGAGGAATGAAGATGGAAGAGGGGGATAGACTGTCTACATGCAGCATGATTTTTCATATACTGTAATATAAACAAAGTGTTTCTGAAGAGTTGATGATGCTTTGCAGTGTTCTGCCCCCCCCAAAAAAATTCAAATAACTCTTTTAAAAATGTGACAAATGTGACTTTAGAAAAGTTGTGCTTTTTTATGCTAGTATTCATTGATTTGTATACTTAAAAGGATTTGTTAGCATGTTTCTTAATGAGAAATTGATCATCACAAAAACAAAACAATTATATTTTAACCTTTACTTTTATATATTTTAATCTTTGTTTTTATGTTCTCTTTCTTTCTCTCTCTTCTGTCTTCTCTCTCTCTCTCTGTCTCTTTTTTTCTCATACACTTTTCAAGAAAGGGTCTCCTGTAGCCCTGGTTGGCCTAGAACTCACTATGTAGACCAGGCTGACCGCAAACTCACAAAGAAGCACTTGTCTCTACGTCCTAAGTGCTGGGATTAAATACATGTTCCATCACGCCTGGTCACTTTAACCTTTCTACTTTTTCTACTTGAATATTTCTTTGATATGTTCCTTCTTTATTATTTGATTATCATCTTTAAATTTTTGGAGGGAATGTCTTTTATTCAGGGTCTCCCTGCAGCACCAGTTGGCCTGGAACTCACTATATAAATCAGGCTGGCATCTATCTCACAGAGATCAGCCAGCCTCTACCTCTCAAGTGCTGGGATTAAAGGTGTGTGCTAACATGCCCAGTCCTATTCTCCCCCGACCCAATTTTTTTTTTTAAGCCAATTCATTGCAGGATTAGCAGTGTAAAACTAAAGGTTAACCTTATAGTTAAAGGAATGTGATGAACCTTGTTACCTCTCCCCTTTCTTACCCATCCATCCTTACTTGTCACAGGCTGCTTTCTTCTCTTGCAGGGTAAGGTATGCAGAACATGGAGATTAGCAGTCATTTCTCTGAGCATCACACTAAATTCTGCATCTTTAAATTCCTTCTACTGCTGGAAGTCTTGCTAAGAGGATTTTTGTTTTAGTTTATTTTTTCCTGGCTTGTTTTAGTTTGATTTGCTTGTTTTGCTGTTATTATTTCTTTTAGAAATAAAGCTAGTCTTTTAATCATATTATGTTAAACATCTAAACTTTACAGATTTTTTGTAAACTAAGATTTTAAGTTTGTCCTTGTGACAAATATTTTTGTTGTTGAGTTTCGGTGTGAGAGTTTAGTCTCATTGTGTAACCCAGGCTTATCTGGAATTCAGTATGCAACCCAGGCTAGCCTTTAGCTCACAATCTTTCTTCATCAGCATCCTACATGCTAGGATTTTTGACATGTCCTTGTTTATATTTTCTTTTGGGGTGTGGAGTGCTGTTTGAGAATCAAAACCAGGTCCTTGCACACTCTAAGCAAGCACTCTACCAATGAGATGTCCCACAGCCCTCTCTTTGATGCTAATTAAGGCAAAAAGTTCTAAAATTGATGATAAGAACAGATATTATGAAGTATTAGTAGTTTTTCATTTCTGAGTATACCATCTTAAATAATTTCCCATGCTTGCTATGTAAACGTAATTTTTTTATTATTTTCTAAATTTAAAATATGTTTTCCCCACTGCATTAGAATTTACATTTTCTAATAGAAAGCAACAAGTCCATCAAGTCTAACAGAAGTAAACAATGATTTTGCATTGGTTTTTGCATTCTGGATGTTAACCCGCAATACTGTAAAATACACATAATTTACTATTTTTAAGTATTCTAAAGTATTACAAGGCTATTTTTAGGTTGACTGAACAATTTCAAATATAGTTGCTTGGTAAAGATATGAAGAGAAATAGTAATGAAGATTATGATGTTTCTTCTGTTCTTTTGACCATTACAGATTAAAGAGCACCTTGCTATGGGGCAGCGAATGCTGGCAGGTAATGGGACGTCACAGGTCCCCAAGACACTGTTGGATTTAACATCCCTGCATCCGATGGTGTCCAGGTAAGGTAGACGAAGCCAAAAAAGACAAGACCAGTATAGATGTGATCATTATTTGGCCCCAGAGAGCAGTGCATCAATTTTTGCGGCAGCTGGGTAGGGTGGAGGGAGGCAATGCTCATGCCTGCATATGTAGTGAGTGAGGCTCTGACAGTGACCTCAGTTCCCTTAGAAATACTGAACCTCTGTGTCCTCGTCATAAAATGCTCATATTACACCTCCAGGAGAAACTGAACAAGAATGCCTGTGCAGTGCTTTGATCCTGCAGATAAAAAGCATTGTAGCAAATTCAAGGTGGAATCCTGGATAGTTTATTTTCACATTTAATATCACATCTTGCCATAGGAGACTATTAAAAGTACATTAGGCATAATGAAAACACATTAACTATAGCACACAAAGAAGACATAGTCTAAAGTTTGTTGGGGGACTTTTTATTAGAAGTGGGGAATGAATATATAGCTTGTGGAATTATTTCCTGGAAGTATAAGGCATCACGTTAGAAGGGAAAATAAGAAATTCAGTAACTTCTTGACATTTTTTTTTCCTTGCCATGGTAGACTTTTAGAGCAACATCATTTACCTCCATAATAAAGTTTAAGTACTTACCCAATTTTAGTACCACCTATGCCATGAAAGCAAAGCCAGAGCATATTTAATCCAAGTCCAGCTTGCAAATTATTTCTTTTTCTCCTATAGAATAACATGCATGCCTGCTAAAGATGCTAATCCCTGCCTCTTCAGAATAATACTCTTCTGTGGTTTCTATAAAACTTCATTAAAATAATGGTTTGCCCAAACTTCCCAGATCCAGTATTCTTTTCTCTGACCTTACTTGTCACTTGGGAATTTAGTTTGCATTTCACTTCAAAAATGGAGTGTGTGTTTTTTGTTGTTGTCTTTTTGCTTGTTTGTTTGTTTGGTTGGTTGGTTGGTTTTGGTTTTAATTGAACATTGAGTAAAAAGAAAAATAATTTTTTGACCCATGGAGTTTTCTGTAGTGATGCTAATGACCTGATCTGTAGCCAGATGTGAAGTTATGTTGTACATAGGTCATCATCTGTGCTGCCTTCCATAGAGCATCACCAATGTCTGTCTTTTAATGGCAATTGTAAATGTACATTGTAAAGAGTGTTAGATGAAAATTTAATCATTTGAGCATTTTGAAGGTAATATTTTTCTTAAAATAGCTTACTTATCTACTAATTAACATGAAGCAAATTTTTATGCTTCTTCCTCAAATATAACTCATTTTTTATTTATTGATTTTTTTGTGTGTATTTCATATAGAACATCCCAAGCATTTATAAAGTCACATGCATTTTTCATATCTGAAACATTTCTATTAACATTGACATAAAAAGATAGTATTTAATGTCCTTAACACAAAATGCAAGATATAATATTTTTAAAAAGAAAAAAACCTGAGGCGGGGCGTGATGGTGCATGCCTTTAATCCCAGCACCAGGGAGGCAGAGGTAGGTGGATCTCTGTGAGTTCAAGGCCAGCCTGGTCTCTGGTCTCCATTAGCAAATGCATGCCAGCTGTGGCTACAGGGAGACCTTGTCTCAAAAACACCAAAAAAAAAAAAAGAAAAAAAGAAAGAACCTGAGATATATGTTCATGGATAAATTGCTAGGCTGCAGCAACAAAAGTCTCAAATTTTCCAAAAACACTAGGCTTGAAGTTTTTTGTGTGTGCTAAAGATCAAGAAATGATAAGACTGACAGGTTGTATTGGAAACACACTATGAACAACTCATTATGTTCAGTGAATATAAGCTAGCCAATTGTGTGGTAGTGGGCATTAGCTGATTTGACTTGAAAAGCAGTACAACTGGATTCCTTGTCTTTTGGTGGAGTCTGAAATGGGGGCTTCCATTACTGGCCTTTTCTTTGCATTCCTTTACAAAACGCTAGTACATCAGCACTCTCAGCTGCATTCTCCTATGTCATTGGTGATGTCTTTTCAGTTGTCTGCAATGCCTGCGCTCTGCATCTGGAATTCCTTCTTCATACTTCTTCCTATCGCCATCCTCATTCATTGGAAGTCATTTCGAATGCTAGATTAGCAAGTGCCCAACTCCATTCAAGACATAATTTTGTTTTCTCTAATGTCTCAGAGAAAGTTGTACTTCTGTTGTTTGACATTCTACAGTTTAAGGATTTGCATATATTTTTGCCTTATTTGTCTCCTTGTAAACTCGTGTTGGTGGCTGTACTCCCTATTCCCTGCACTCTACAGAAACTTCAACTTGATGTGTCTGAGCACCCTGGACACTTCTGATGGTGTGGCACCTCACATTTAACATAGTAGAAACTAATTTCATCTTGAAATCCAAGTGATTATGTATTCCCTAATCTCCATTATAGAATTAGCAGTCCCTTGACAAGACTTATAACATCATCTTGATTTTCTTTCTCCTTCCATGTGGGGTCTGCCTCATGCTGCCCCTTCTTGTCTTCCCATTATATTTTTATAAAGTTCTAATCATATCAGCCTACTTATTTCTGGGTCTCTTTCCTTTGCAAGTCCCTGACATGGTCATCTCTTTCTATATCCATCTTATGCCTTGTTCTCCTATTAGTTGTGGTAGAACAGCTTTCATTATGTTTCATTATGTCACTCTGGGCTTCAGAGTGACAAGTAACATCTTACTTTGGTGTCTAGTACACCATGCTGTATCTCCATCACTTGCTTCGCCAGCATTGGCACAGATGACTCTTGCTCGTCACAGACCATCACTTGAGCTGCTTCCGACTTCCCAGATGCACTGCCTGTTCTTAGCTTGTCTCTGTTTCCTCTGTTTCCAGACTGCCTTGGTCTGTCTCAACTGTACAAATTAATCTAAGTCTTGGAGCTTCGGAACTCCACAATACCTTCTCTCTTGCATCCCTTTATACCGTCTTAGCACTCAATGGAAAGTTCTTCTTTGAAAAAGTAAACATTATCCAGATTTGCTCTTAGATCCTAGCAAAGCCCCAGCCTACCACCCAAAATACACCAAAAGAGTAAGTCAAATAATTGTCTTTGGGTTTTTGACTAAAAAATTGAGAAAAACCTATTTGGGTACCCAAATTGGGAAATGATAGCCAAAGTTCAAAGGAACATTGATTTAAATTACGCACAAAGGTTGCATTCTTTGGAATGTAGGTTGGACATTTTATTTGAACTGGTAACATTGATATTAAGAAGAGTTATCTGACATGTGATGAAGGAGACAGCATAACCATAGCCTGCATATCTTGGATGAAAACTTATCTATGGAAAAGTTCACTAATTTGAGTCTCTAAATTACATAAGGACATTTTATTCTTACATCTTTACCTTTACTTGTTAAAAAATTATAGTTCATTATCTGAAAAATACTAGAAATATTTTCAATAAAAATCTCTGTAGAACTATTAGTTTGCATTAAATATATAAAATTCAGTTATCTGAAAAATCCTAGAAATATTTTCAATAAAAAGCTCTATAGAACTATTAGTTTGCCATTAAATATATAAAATACATAAATTATGCTGTTTGCCTGCTCCATGTCAACTATGGGAAACATTTCTTTTAATATTAATAAGGTTTTCTTATTTCACTTTAAAAGATTTTTACTTAAAATATGTGGCTTGAAAACTTCGTAAACCATAATATTGCTTTCAGTTTAAATAATCAATAAAAATATGAAGTCAGATTTCCACAGATTATCGATCTTAATGAGAAATATTGTTCTCACAATAGCTACCCAAATTTTAGGTTCTCAAAATAAATGCAATTTTTACTATTTATGAGCAACGATTTACTTTGATAGCTAAGGTAAAAGCAAGCGAAATGCAGAACTCAGATATCTATCATTAATTAAAAGTACATAGCTTTTCCTTAAGATAACTAGGACTTTAAAAGCTTTATACTTTAATTTTCAGAAGTATAAATGATAATGTCCATTCATTTCTTTTTATCACTCTACTACATCAATACCAAATTGTATAAGAGTTGGTACAGCTGGGGCTAGAGAGATGGCTCAGCAGTTAAGAACACTGGCTGCACTTGCAGAAGACCTAGATTCAAGTCCCAGTACCAACATGGTAGCTAACAACCACCTGTAACTCTAGTTCCAGGGAATCCCACACCCTTTTCTGGCCTCAGTGAGCAGTGTATGCACATCATGCACTTACATACATGTAGGCCAACATTCATAAAATAAAAGTAAATAAACTATAACAGAAAAAATTTAAATGTGTACATTTTTTAAGCAACACAGTTAACTGCATAACACGACTATTTTCCTTCATCACTGTCTCTCTTTGGCAGCTGTTGAATATCAAGGTCCATCGTCAAAGCATATATAATAACTATTCTTCATTATAATGTCCCAAATTAAAAATGCAATAAGAGAGAATCATCAAAATACAACAAGGTAACTATTTTATGCAATTGGCAAAACCACAAACAAGACCTCACCAACTCTAGAAGAGGAGAATTTAAAGCAGCACATGCCAGGTGTACATATGCAGTAAACAGAAAATCATATTCTTTTTATGTGAAAGTATACCTCTTGGGATATAACTATTAAACCTGGCTTAGTCTGCTTGAGATGGTACAACTATAATGCATACCACCACTTTATTTCTTTCTATGAAAGAGCTGCGTTATATAACTGCTGCATAATGCTAAGCTGGTCTTCCTTTTAAAAACCGTTTTAATTTATGAGGTATTAAAACTGAAAAAATTATGGGTGTACGTTTTGGAAAGTTAATGGACAGTTATCCTTTTATTTCTGGAACTGGTAGATCTTTTTTAGAAGCCTGTCCTCCTCATTTATATTGTTTTCCAAGCCTCTGAACTTCATCAGATCTTCTACAATTCACTATATTCATAATATATCTCTCTTATTTTCAAACTGATATATGGTCCATCGAGGTCTGGCTCAAAGACAATTTTTTCTCAAAAATCTTCTCACCAAATCCTAGGAAGGATTAGGATTTTTACTACTAATCTGGCCCTTGTGAAAC